ACTGGCTTTGTACTTAGCCCTTCCATCTCAGCAGGGGGAAGCTTTTGCTTTTTGTGTATCCATTTATTTGTTGAAATAATTATGACCGTCATGTTTAGTCAGCAAAAGAGACCAGGTTGAGTTTAAAATTATCACCACTGACTTGTCTAAAAGGGCAAGATTCCTGTAAGAATTACATTGTGAAATTACCAAGAAAAAAATAAGTTTTAGGGAGTCAGTAGGAATCACTGACAATGAAAATTTCTTATCATCCACTTCAAATGGAATAATGAGTATCCTGGCCAAAGACAAAAATTCTTGAGGACTTTATGCATGTGTTTGTTGGGAGGTCCCTTCGTTTCAATTTGTTTAATTTTTTTTATATTACCATATATCACTACTTGTCATCCTACTTTGCCAACCACAGTAAGTGTGATAATGAAATTAGAGACTCATTCCAAACCCTAACTCATGCATTGTAAGGTTGAGTCTTACAGGCTACTAAGTGCATGACCGATTTCTCAGTGCTGATACTTAATATCCCTAGCTGATTTCTGCGACTACTAAGCGAATGGCCTACATCTCAGGGTTGATACTTATTATTAAAAACTGGATCATTGGATAATGCAATTCAAGATTTTTTATTGGCCTAGCCATTATGGTATATGAGCCATAATCTAATATCTTTACATTGTAACATCCGGTTTCTTCTTACATAATTAAGTTGAGAAGATTTGTCTAACATCTTAGGGGCATTTTTTTTTTAATAAAACAATTATTCCACTCACACTTGTTGGATATGAGATGATTATAGCCAACTTGGCACTACAAGCCTCATTGGCTATCTATCATCTCATATCCAATGCACACTCGTGGAATAATTGTTAAATATCCCTGATTTCTGTGGCATAATGCAGCCAAGAATATCGCTAATCCTCCTGAATGAAATTCATTTTGTCAGTCTTTCCTAAAAGTTCTCCAGTACCCATTTCCACACATAGGTGGAGAGGGGCTTTGGAAAGGTTAAGTGTATTGTCCCAGCACATTAACTCAAACAGGGCTAGAACCCAGACCTCATGTGTCCTGCATGCTTGCTGTCAGGCCACCTCATCTCCAAAACTAAAAGGAAACAAACCGGTCGTTTCCTTCCAAAGGGATGACAGGAAATAGACCATCTCAACAGCTGGATATTAATGTACAATTTGGCAGTTACTTTACAAACATATCTGGGAAATTAATTTAGAAATAAAACTTACAATAGTATGTGCCGCCTGCAACAACTGCTATCTGGAAAACTGCAAAGCCTACTCCAATCCCCACAATAGCGCCTGTACTCAAGGTGCTTCTCTCTCTTTGAAAAGTGAGAAATATTTCTGTGTCATATAATCCTTACCCATTAAAGGACTGTGTTTGTTTTTGGAAAAAAGTTATTGAAACCTCTGCATGACCTTCACATTTGATTCAGGGATGGAGAAACTAGAGCCTAGTCTCTCTTAGCCAGTTAAAGGGTTAAGCAATGAAGAGTGCAACCTCATCCTCTGGCTGGAATGTTAATTAACCCATTATATGGTTAGCCTCCCTTTGCCGCTGCCCGATTTTACTCCTGGTTTGAGAAAGTCATTGTGAGAGTAGAGTGTCTTGCCTTAAAAACCCAACTCAATGACTTCCTCAGATCTTATAACAGTTACTGAACTCAGATCTTCAAACCCAAAGTTCATCTAGCTTACTGAAAATTAATGCTATTGTATCATCCTTACAGACCCAAGGGAAAAATAAGTGGATTTCTAGTGTAATATGTCAGTTAAGCTTACCACTGGTGGGTTTTGGTACAGATGTTGATCCAGGTGTTGACCCCATCCTTGTTTCAGTTGATGCCACTGAATATGCTGCTTCAAATCCACGATTGACTTAAGTATCAGCATGAAACATTATAAACATTTGATTTCCTCTGGAAATTTTGTTTTGCAAAGTTGAATCCTCACAGAAACGCCCCAGAAAAGGTGAGAAATGCTCCAGAAAAGGTGAGCTTGTGGAATTACCATCATAAAGCTCCACATAAGAACAATTAAGACTGGAGCTGCAATTCGCACACAGACTTAGGCCGAAATCAATAAATGCCAACCTCACGGATTCACCAGCTGGAACAGTTATGATCCACATACAATTCCTAGATGCAGTATAGTTACCTACTGGGTAATCGGTGCTGCTAAGTTTTCCACTACCATGAAGAGAAATTGGGTCTTTGGGGCAAACTGGAAGTTCTGAGAAAAAAAAATTTTGAGAAAATGAAAAATAAAGATCAATTGCCTCTACGGCAAACCTACTCATCTACTGCTGCTACACCCTAATTATTGGTAGACATTAGTGTCTGAATTCATAAGGGACAGAATGGTTTAAAAGAAATCCCAACAAACTAAAGGAAACAAAATACAATTGACTGACTCTTAACCCATCAACTAAGTCCCTGACTGACTCGAAGACTAACTCATTGACTCCCTGAAAGCAGGATCAAGCATGCACTAACAGGTTTTAGGTGTATTGAATCATTGAACAATATTTTCACTCTTTAAAGGGCAACTATTCGATTTACAAATAAGTATATGTAATAGGACTACATGCTGTCCAATTTGGAAATAATTACAGTAGATGGAAAAAATTGCAACACCATGAAGGACAGCCAAAACTGAACAAAATTGAAGGCTAAGTCCATTTTGGCTGTCAGAGGAATTTTCTTTGTGTAGTCCTCTTACTTACTAGTCATATAGCTAGTCAGATCAGTTGTTATTGGGCATTGCTCAGTCAACCTATCACCTTTAATCTTTTAAAAACTATTCAGTTAAGGATAAATTTGGATAGCTTGGACCATCCAAATTTATCTTTACATGTAATTGGACAGCTTTAAAAATAAAGAATAATAACTATACTTACAATTTCAATAGGCTCCTTGAACTAAGAAGTCACGTGATCTCCGCCATGTTGGAGGGCAAACAAATCGGTTGGTAGGGGAAACTATGGCTGCCTCGTGGGGTCACGAAAGGTCAGTTACACAAAATAATATTTGCACTATTAGTTTCTTTATTTAGGAACAAAACGATCTTTACTCCCTCGTCAAATTTACATAATGCCAAAAGAGCTTCTGTGATCGAGCATTTGTATTCAGGTTTACTTCTAACGCGTCAGGAACGAACGCAGGCGAAAGTTTAGTTAAGCTTAATCTTATCAACTGATCGATTGATTCATTCATTCATTTATTCGATTTTTCGCAAGAGTTCTGCTCTTTCTTTGGGTTACATATAGTGACTCGGATCGATGCATTTTTTTTGGCCAGATGCTACAGATCGATGAAGAAAAGTGAAACACCACATTCCCTTCAAGTGATAATTGGTATGGATCAAACAACAGTATCTGGAAAGTGTTCTTGTGTAGCAGGTGTTGGAGGGATTTGTCACCATGTTGTGGGCGTTCTTTTTTACTTGTCACACTTTAAGCAACTTGGGCTAAAGAGCTTACCTGATGATCTGACATATACTATGATGG